ATTCAATGTCAGCATTTACAGCTTACAGAGCAAGCAGCTGCCAGGGGTTGGGAGGCAGGGTGGGCCTCTGCCAACAGGACCTAGGCTGAGCTGATAACATGTGGGGCCTATGTACATAAGGTCCAGAACCCCCGAGCTAATCATGTCCCCAGATCAAAAGAGCTTCTATATACCCTATTCTTCCAGACTTCCACTCCCCTGTGCACCCCCAGCCCAAGTCCTTGTATTGGTAATGCCTCCCGACCTTTCCTTTCGCCCACATATCCCCATACCGAAGCAGGTCGCCCCTTAGTGAGATCAGGTATGTGGTTGTGGGGATCTGGCTTGAGTAACATGCCCCGGCGGTGTAGCGGGTCTGCACTGCTCACCACAAGGTTATCAGTTCGAAACCACTAGCCGCTCCTTGGGAGAAGGAGGAGGCTTTCTGTTCTCATGAAGATTTATGATCTCAGAAAACCACTGGGGCAGTTCTACGCGATCCTGTGGAGTGGAATGGGCCTGACAGCCCTGAGTTTGAGAGCACTTGCTTCCACATGCCTGGGTTCCCAGGGCCTCAGCCATCGGTGGCACCTCGACTCAGAAGAGGAGGGAAGGGATGCTAGGTGCTCATGTCGCGGGAGAGCTCGGAGACACACGCCTGGGAAGCGACCAGTCATGCGGGGCCTGGTAGAAAGCGGGCGCCTCAGAGCCCCAGTGTTGTAGTGGTTATGTGTTGTGTTGGGATCTGCATGGTGCGTAGTTCGAAACCACCAGTGTTTCTCCCGGGGGTTTCCACTCCTGTAAACAGCACAGAGAAAGAAACCCACGGGGAGTCGACCTGAGTCAGCATTGACGCCAAGGCAGTGAGTTTGGACACAGTCACCAGGTCCCAGTTGCTGTCCAGTCAAGCCTGGTGCATGGCAGCCCACGTGGAGCAGGATGGAACCATGACCTACATGGTTTTCAATGGCTGGTTTTCCTCAAGACGGGTGCCAGGCCTTTGCCCCGAGAGAGGCACTCCCAGGTGGACCGGAAGCTCCAGCCTTCCAGTTAGCTCCCGAGCACTCAACTTGCACCACCACTCGGTATGACATGGTGGTGCTCATGGATCCCAGCCATCCCTATGGGACTGGAGTCCTGGCAGTGCAGTGGGTTAGATGCTGGATTTCTACGGTCAAGAGTTCAAACCCATTGGCTGCTCCTCAGAAGAAAGGTCAGCCTGTCTGTTCCCATAAACATTACAGCCTCACCAACCCTAAGAAGCAGTTCTACTCCGTCCTAGTGGGTCTTTAGGATAACCTTGGGTTTGTTTGTTGAGTTTCATTTCTCTGGGCTTTAGTCAATGGCTACCTGAAGTTAAGTTCCTCTCCCCTCCTGTAACCAATACCACTCCCCGCCCCGCCCCCTCTTAGTTCTCCGCTGGTCTACCGATTCATTTCGACCTCATTTTGGAGGCACTTATACATGAACTTATTGTGCCTGGAGCTGTGTCCAATCACTTGCTCCTCATCTGATTCCATGCAATGCCTACAACAGAGGACCTGGGACCCAGACGGTGACTGGTGGCTCCCTGATGGGTGAAGACAGCCTGTGTTTGAAAGGGGGGTGGCAGAGCCCCTTCTCTGTGGCACCCCACTGTGAGCCCCAGGAAGAGTCCAGAGCCTCCTCAGGAGTTGGGGCTCACCCTCGCATGTCTGTCCCTAGTCTGATGTTTAGGGTCCACGGCTGTGATCAGAGCAGGAGCTCAGGGGAACTCAACTCACTGCCGTCCAGTTCTTTCTGACCACAGGGCCCCACAGGTCAGGAGCAGCAAGCCTCACCTTTCCCTGGGGAGCAGCTGGAGGTGGCTCCAGGTGGCGTATTGGGCTATGCATTGAGCTGCTGACCACAAGTTTGGCAGTTTGGAATCACCACCCTCTGTAGAGGCTACAGTGTCTGGGGTTTTAAAGGCTGATTTTCAAACAAGCAGCCATCTAAGTGAAGAGTCAACTAAGGTCCCATGGAAGAAGCACGCCAGCCTGTGTGATCCAAGGATTGTAAATAATAAAATCCAACTCTGAAGGAAAGCATGGTATCAGAGCTTAAGTTGTGAACACCGGGTATAATGAAAGCTACGG